AAGACACTGGTCCAAACATGGACATACCACCCTGGGTTGATTATTCTAGGAGCAGCTACAAGGGCAGAGTCCAAGCCAAAAAATCAGTTTATAATGCAAAGTGCAGGTGAGACATGCATGTCTTAATAGAAAGTCCAAATTGAGCCAGAGACCCAATATATTTATCCCTGTGGGAGAAGGACAGATGTTTGAGTGAGGTCACAGTGGATAGTTTCTGAGGCCTCCTGGTTGACATATTTAGAGTTAAGGGTTCTGAAGTCTCACTGTGGCCAGTGGGCGGTAATGAGGCAGAGGAGCAGGACTGTGGCACCAGGCAGGTAAGCCTTTTGCTCCTGCAGATTTGGGTTAATGAACTTCCATGTTAAAACCATAAGCAACTGACATGGGGCTCTTTCCTTTCCCAGGGCATAATCTGATCTTGGGATGGGACAGAGTGTGTGTTTGTGGGTTAAGGAGACTCAACAATAAGGACTAGAAGGATTCCTATATTCCTCTGCTCTTTTGGTAGGTTAGGCCCCTTGGGATCCCATGGTAATCCAGAGAAGACAAAACCAGTTTGGTTTCCAGAATCTTAGAGGGTTATATTTACCTTCAGTGCTTAAGGGAAAAGACTATGTACTTCTCAAGTGTGTCCCAAAAAGGGTATGTTTTGGTCAAGGCTCACGTAATTGTGTAAAGAATGATCATGTATAAATATGAAACCACAGACCTCAACAGTCTCAGGGCAATTATTAGCCAAGTTAGAATAGGAGAAGCAAGACTGTCAATATCTCCTTACCTCCTTACCTCCAGTTTTGTCTTAGGGTTACTGTTTTATTTTCTTCTTGAAAAAATACAGTGCGTGCCCATCAACAAGAAGGTTTCCAGATAGATACAGACTTTTCTTAACACCTGAGGCTATTTCTTGGATCTTTCTCTGTACCTAGTATCAACAAATCACACGAATTTCACCAAATTGTGTACATTTTACATGCCAGTCATATAGAAAAATAGTGAAAATGAAGTGTTTTGTGACAGTGTGATAGTGGGAATTATTATTGAATGACCCTGTTTAAGTAAGGAATGCAAATTGATTTGTGGCTGTTCAGTAAGGCCAATCCTTGAGAACAAAAAAAAATGGTAACCCGAGGATTTATAGCAGACCTCTGCTCCTTAGGCAGATAGCCAAGAATAGTCCCTCAATTCTGGTTCAAGTCTCTATTTTACCACACTTTGCCTCCTCCCCTCCCAGGACAATTCCCACACTGCAGGACTTCTCTACTAATGAGAAAATCAAACTTGGGATGAAGGAGATATGGGGATGCCTCTCCAATCACTAAGCATCTTACATTACCCCTCAGACAGTACTTGTGCTAGTCTCAGCTATGTGTAGAAGAATGAAACTCAACCATTCTCTTACACCATACACAAAGATAAACTCGAAATGGATAAAAGACCTCAACATGAAGCAGGAATCTATCAAAATCCTAGAGGAGAACATAGTCAATAACCTCTTTGGCATTGGAACAGCAAATTCTTTCAAGATATGTCTCCAAAGGCAAAGGAAATAAGAACAAAAATGAACTTTTGGGACCATCAAGATCAAAAGCTTCTGCACAGCAAAGGAAACAGTCAACAAAACAACGAGGCAACCCACGGAATAGGAGAAAGTATTCGCAAATGACACTACAGACAAAGGGCTGATATCCGAGATCTATAAAGAACTCCTCAAACTCAACACACACAAAACAGATAATCACATCAAAAAATGGGCAGAAGACATGAACAGACACTTCTCCAAAGAAAACATACAAATGGCTAAGAGACACATGGTCATGTGGACCGAAACACAACATTGAATTTCAGAAGAGGGCGCAGATGACCAGCACTCAAGGAAAGCTCCTGATTCCAGCAGATAGGAGTTGTAGAATTCTAGATTGGACTACAGCTCATCAATCATGTGCTGCCTCTTCTGAGGCACTTACATAGCATTGGACCCTCACCAGAGCCCTTAGGGCCAGACCATCTACCCCATGGCTAGAGGAAAACAGCCAGGACTAGTCTTTGTAATTTGAAGTATATAACTGGATCCTGTCCAGAAGGATGTCTGGGATTCTAAAGAAAGAGGATTTCCAAAGGTTAAGAGCCCAGGACTAGTAATATACAGTTCTGGTGAGCTCTTGGGACACTCCCAGCTGCCATTAGGTTTTATTGTTGATGATTTGGTAGTCCCATTTACCAAGGAGCTGGGCTGCAGAGTCATTGACCCATCTGGGAAGGCTTCTCAGGTTCATATAGGGTCACAGGAATTGGCCGGAGCCATCTGAGTACCAAACCCAGAATGTTTATCTAAACGAGGGCGGAAGAGCTGGTGTCCAGCTGGCAAAAGATCAAGAGGCTTCCTTGAGCAGTAGAGGCTTCTTTGCATGTCTTCTTTCCTCCATCGAACAAACTGGTTGGTGTTGGAGAGGCAAATATTCTTAAATCCCTCGTGGGGGGAACATGAAGAAGAGGTGATTGCCACCCAGCATTTGAGGATAATGACTGAGAGATGTACACAGTGCCCTGAGAGCATGGGACAGGGACAATGAGCCCCATCTATGTTGGTCAATGCAGAGACTGCATCGAGTCTTGAAGAATGAGTAGGAGTTTGCCAGTGTAGACACAGAGTATCCCAAGTGGCTGGAATATGCATAAAGGCTGAGGCCAGAATGGAAAAGGTCTATTGGAAAAGGTTTATTTTTTAAGAGGAGGGGGTCTCTGTCCCCCTCCTTACCTGAACCCCTGGATTCCTTTCCCTATCTGTCCAGTCTTCTCACCCCCTAATCTCCTCAGCCCCTACTCTGCAGAGCTCTATGCTGCTGCCACAGGAAATTGCTTGTTCTTCCCCAATCATTTAAATCTGTATTTCTGCATTTACTAGAAGAGTTCAGTGTTTTTCAAATGCTGATTTACTATCCTTTAGGGGATTACCTGTTCTGATCTTTGATCTATTTTTCTATTGTTTGCCTTTTTAATATTTACTTGTACCAATTATTTACATATCCTGAACTCAAATTTTTTGCCTTTTTTATTTGTTGCAGACATCTTCATTCACTCTTTTCTTGTCTTTGAGCCTGTTTATGGCATCTTTTTGTCATTCAGAATTGTAGATGCTTCAGGCAGTCAAAATTATCCTTTTCATAAAAAACAACTCCTACTTTCTGTACCCAGCTAAAGAAACCCTTCACTAACCTGAGGACATAAACGTCTCCTATAATTTGCCCAACAGATTCAAAGTTTTGTCTTTCACATTAGGTTTTAAGATATCTAGTGTACATTTGGTATGAGATAGTGATCTAATTGGCTTTTTCCAACTAGAAATCTATTGTCAGAGCATCATTTATTAAAGAGTTAGTTCTGTCTCCTCAGTTTGAATCACTTTTTTCATTGACTAGCAAGACCCTATGTAGATTGAGGTTTGGGTTCTCTATTCTACCTCATTCGCTCCACAGTTTTATTATGTATCATGCATATGGAGTCATTATATCTGATAAGGCAAGTTTTCCAGCTTTATTATTCTTTTTCATGATTGCCTTGATTACTTTTAGACCTTTAATCTTCATTTCATTTTTAAAGTCAGCTGTTGAGTTTTACAAAACATCCTTTCAGATTTTTTCCTAGAATTGAAGTTATAGATTAAGTTGGGGAAAGTGAGATAGCCTTATGATACAGAGTTTTCACTGTATGATTGTAACATACTGTGTCACTTTTGTTCAGGTCAGGCAGACCTCATTTCTGGATGTGGGGCAGAGAGGAATGAATTCTTATAGAGATGAAATACACTCAATCAGAATGAGAATTCTTGGGATATTGTACATGGAAAAGAAGGCACAAAATCTATTGCACAGATTCATCTTAAATATCTATAAACAATCTGAAACAGAAAAAAAAGCAACAAACAACTCTTTTGAAGTTAAAATTAAGGTAAATGAGTGCATAAAAAATAAAAATAATCTGAAACCAGTGGAAACCGTATAAAATGTCAGAGTAGAAAGAGCAAACTTCTAACCTCAACAACTATTAGAATGACAAGCAGAAATGCAGAGTTCACCTGACACAGACCCTCAAGTAAAAAGGAAAGAGGCATCACAGCTACACAGAAAAATGGGTTAGAATAGAAAAACCTACCATGAAGTCACTGCAACAGCTTGAGTAGAAGCACTATCAGAAATATTTAGAAGCTGAACTGAAACAGTAGTAAATGGTATCAGTAAAATGGAAGTCAATTTGGGGAAATAAGGAAACCCCCTTCCAAATCTAAAATTATGTAATTCCATATGTCCTAGACAAAGTTTCCCTCTTTTTTAGGGAGAAGATTCCTTTTTAATATAATCATATAGTTTTTCTTTTTTAATTTATTAGTAAGACTAGCTACATTAGATTTTCTTAAATGGTGAACTATCGCAATACATTCCTGAAATAAACTCCACCTGTTAATTAATTATTATTCTTTTAGATTCCTGCTGGATTTATTTCGCTACTATTTTATTTAGTGGACTCATTTTGCATCTATATTTATGGATGAAGTTTTACTCTTTTTGAAGAGGGGGATTTGTTTATCTTCGTGTGCTCAAGCTTCTAGTTTACACTAATTTCATTTAAATAAATTAGAATGGTTTTTCCTTCCTTAATCAGTGAATAATTTAAATAGCACAAACATAGTGGTTTTTTAAAGATTTGAAACTGACCTGTGAATCTGGGCCCAGGGATATGTGTGTGTGTGTGTGTGTGTGTGCACGCACACATGCATTAGTGTGTGGAGTAGGGGTGGAAGGAGTGGAAGGTGGAGTGAAGGGAAGTTCTTTAACAAAAATTAGTCTGAACACCTTTTCAAATAATTTCCAAAGTTACAGAAGTTTCTGATAATGAGCCCAGTTAATGGGTAGGTTGAATGTGAAATAATAGAACATGAAGAGAAATGAGGCAAGGTAAAGAAAAATGAATACCTGATTAAGTAACATTTACTTTTGTTTTCCTAGATCAGGAAGTGTGCTGCACCACTGGAATGAAATCTATTATTTTGTGGAACAGTTGGCTCATAAATTCATCAGGTGAGAAAGAATGTGTAGTGCTCTACTGTGAGTAAAACTAGCCTATGTTTGCTATTCTACTAATTTCTAACTACTTTGGGCATGCTTTTTGACAAAGGTAGACTCTCAGATCTTGAACCAGAAACCTGACTTTGTTTTCATCTTTGCTACATGTTGGAATAACTTTTGGTTCTGTGTTTTCAGGAGGACCCTTATTTGGTTATAAGACCAAAATTTTACCTCTGTCTCTATTATTGGATTACATATTCTTCTAGAAGGATCATTAACATTTCTTTCACAGTGGACAAGTCTGGGCCAGTTGGCTTATTTTAGTTGGACTCAGATATAAACAGCATAGGGTATAAGGTAACCAACTCATCCCAGTCTGCCCAGAACTTTCCCGGCTACAGCACTGAAAAATCTCACATTCTGAGAGCTCTCCTCAGTCCTGAGCAAACCACCATGTCGATCAGCCAAGCTAGGTGTCTTATCAGATAGAATTCTCTGAGCATTCTTTACACCACTTTCCAAGGGAGGACAATAAAGTTTTGAACATCATCACTATAAATGTGCAGAGCCTTGGAGGTCCTACTTTCCAGTAGGTATAGACGCCCACTAGTAAAGGAAAGAAAGTCATTTAATCCTTCCTGGGTACAGCTTCTAAGGGATGACACAACTGTGATAGCTTTCATGGATGTGCTTGAAGCCAGTTGTCAAGGTCTTTGGTAAAATTTTTCTGATCATTGCAAATTCTAAGGCCACTCCTGTCCTGTGTCATGGCATCTGTAGAGTCTGCCAGCCCATACGAATAACGATAAACTTCTTTGAATAACGTTCTTTATCTCAGAAGATAAGTTGTTCCCTGAGACCAAAGTAAAGACAAATGCATTCCCTCCAAATTCAGTTACTGCTCTCTTTCCTGCTTGCCTGACTGGAGGGAAAGGGTTAGAAGGGGTCCTCTCTACAATGCCAAAAATTGGAGGCTGCAAGCAGGAAGCATCCAAATCCAGATGAATGAGAAAAGCAGATGCTGACAGGAGAAAGGGGGAAGGGGAGGTAAGAAGCAAATACATGGGGGGGGGGAGGGTATTAAAAGCAAAATATTTGGGAGAAAAGTAGAAGCTTAGAATTGAAAGCAACAACTGCCCAAGCTATCCTAAGACGTATTCGCTACCCTCAACTTAAATAGCTCTGGTGAGAAACTGCTGTCTTTGGAGGCAACCAGTCCAATAGCTGGACAGTTCCAGTTTTCAGAAAAGTCTCTTTGTCATTGAGCCAATATGTCCTTCCCTATACTCACATCCGTTATATCCATTTTATCCTTTGGAGTGCTATAAAACAAATCTGCCTCTAGACACTTGACAGTATCTGCTGTGTCTCTATTTGCTTTTCTGGTCTTCTGTTCTCTCTGAGGACACAACTGGAAAAGGCTTTGAAGTTAGGCAGATGTGGATTTGAATCCAAGCTCCATTGCGCAACCATAGCAATGGACTTACCTTGGTTGAACCCTGGTTTGCATGTGAAAATTAGAAGACAAAACATGTGCAAACCAACTAGCCCAGCACCTGGCTTAGGGTGACCACTCAGCACTTCTCTTTCCCTATTCGTTCAGCAACTGCAGATGCCTCACTATCCGAGCAGTGAAGACACTGAGAAGTAGGGGTTGGGGGGACTTAACCCAATCCTTTCATTTTGATAAGGAAACTGAGGACTAGAGAAGTTGACATGGCTTAATGCAGACCACAAGACACTTTCCTCTGGTTGTCTTCCATGGCCCTTTTTGGCTATGGACACCCTCAAAGTGTGTCACCAAGACATCATGGTCATGCAAACTGTATTTGGACAGCTGCAGCCCAAGTACCTGCAGTAACACCTGACACATAGTGTATGCTCACTCAATATTTTTTAATAAATGGACAGATTTTGAAAAGGAATGAATGATTTTTATTTATTCATTTTAATAAACAGTCAAATAGTCTTGGCAGCTGATAGTGCAGGGTGGGTACTTCTTTAATAACAGTGGCTGATGCCAGGACAAATACTACCATTGCCGATTTAAGGGAGATCCTGGAAATTTTAAGTTCTTTTATTCGTCTTTATTCTGACCTCCTCCCATTTTCCTAATAATGATGCTGACTCTTCATGACTTCCCTCAAAACCCCAACACCTCTCACCCACCACTTTCAGCAAAGCACTTCACCTCCCATTTCACCAGGAACCATGGGAATAGCAGAAGAGTGATGCCTCCAGTTCTAGCCCTATTCTTAAAAGATACTTGTTCTTCCCATTGTCTCTGAGACTCAAATATCCTCCTTTGAAGGTGACCCCTCCATTTTAGTCCATTTTATCCCATTGTCTCTAATCTACTCCAGGTCTTTTTTTCCCTCTTGTATTTTTCTCCACCTTTTCCCTGGTTCCATTTTCCACATCAATGGACATAAACAAATCTCTCCTGCCCCGTATCTGAAAAAAAAAAAAAAAACCCAAAACAGAAAATAATGAATCTCCTGATTATGTCCCTCTATAGATATTATAGATATGTTTTTCTTACTGGTCTCTCACTCAAATGTCTTTAAAGACTCAGAGTCTCCATATCTGTACTTTTATCATTCTTTCCTTGGTCCACTGCCATCTGGCTTCCATCCCACCCCCCACCTGCTGGCTCTCCCCACAGCCCCTAAGTAATGCCCCATGAGGACAAAGACAATGAGTGTCTGGCAGTGCTTATTCTGCTGGATACAGAAACTTCACTTGATTGAGAATTTTTCTCTCCTTGAAATTCTCTTCTCCACTGGTTTCTGGTTTCTCCTTTCATCCCACTGACCAGAGTTGGGTCTTTAAATGTTGGTGTTGGTTCTAGCTGTGGTTTACTTCCCTTCTCACTGCTGACCCTGTCTTGGAACAACCCCACTCACCTCGGTGTGTTTAAAACTCCCAAATTAGGTCTTTTGCCAAGACTCATATACAAAATATACCAATTGCTTCTTGGAACCCAACATTTCCCACATTTTGAATTCATTTTTACCAGAGCTGAACTCTATGCAAAAGAAGCAGGATAATATATGGTGCTTAAGAGCCCAAATTCCAGAATCAGAAGCTTGGTTTTAAGCCCCAGATCTACTACTCTCCCAATCTGCGACATTGGGGAAATTACTTTATCCTTCAGGGTCTCATTTCCTTTCGTGGGAAGTAGGAATAATAATAGTACCGATCTCATAAAGTTGTTACAGGTTTAATGAGAAAATACATGCAAATCACTTACAATAGTGCCTGGCACATAGTAAGCACTTGATAAGGCTGACCATTATTATATTATTATGATAATTATGATGGTCATTATTATCACTTAGGACATGGTGTTTTGCTGATTAGCAGCAGTGAGGTGGTAACAGACAGAATGGTGTCATGGACAGAGAGCCCAGGTCCATTTCAAGATACCAACATTCAATTTGCCGTGTACTGCTTGGGCTCCTACCAAGTGTTAAACACCATGGTAAGCATTTCCAAAGATGTATCAGACATATGGTAATGAATGTAGACTTCATCCTGGAGGCAGTAGGAACCACTGGAGATTTTATAGCAGATGGGTGACAAGTCTAATTTATATTTTAGAAAAATAGTTCTGGAAGCAGTGTGAAGAATGAACTGGAACAGAGGATGATGCCCAACAAGGTCACCAGTTGGGAAACAACTGCACTGGTCAGAGAGTGGAAGGCAAGGTCCTAAGCTAAGAAGTGGAAAAGAGGTGGTTAAGAAACATTGGAGGAAGTGAAATTTTAAGATATGGGGGCCAGATCAGGGAGGGGAGAGTACTTCATTGTGAAGGAACAGGTTTATGCTGAGACAGAGGAAGCAGATGGTCACCCAAAGAGAACCCCAAAAGGACAACAGTCTACTGGTATATCCACTACACCCTGAGAGTCCATCTTTTCTCTTCTTTTTTTTTTTTTTTTTAAATTTTTTCTTTTGTTTTTATTACATCTGCCAGTCCATCTTAAAGACAGAGTACATGTTTGGTCCTCAGCTGAGAGTAGTTCTGTCTCCCAGAGTATGGATTTTCCATGGATACCGCCATCTACAAACCATGCAGCTGTGTTCACGAATATTGAGAAGTGTAACTACCAAGCAGAGTGGACATTCTTGTAGCCCATCAGCACATTCTGTCCTTATAGGATAACCTCCTTGGGAAGTCAAGGTGAAATTAAAAGTGGTGACCCTGCCTTCAGAGCAAAGGGAGTTCATAGTAGGATCTTAATGGCGGATGGCATCCAGCTACAGCAAGCTCAGCCACTCTCCGTGCTAGAGGGTCCACCCGGCTGCCGTGGGGACGCTATCAAATTTTATCTATTGGAGTCCCCCTTCTATAAACACCACGCAGACCAGTCCTCTTCCAGGACACACCTCTTCAGATAGAGCCCAGGGCAGGGATGAATTTTAGCTTTCGTACTCATAACCTGCCCTCACCAAGCAGCGGGGTCAAATCAGAGGCAGCCTCCAGGATGACAACACAAGTCTTCCCTTTGGTCCACAGCTCTGAGTCTGCTGCTGGCTATAGACATGCAACATGAGCTGTGGAGGCCCTCTTTGGCTTGAAGGGCCTCAGCTCTGGCAGCCATGATACAAAAGGAAGAACAGGGAGGATGACCAGAAGGAGATGGCGTTCCACAGTCTTTCTATTTGCTTTAATAGAATTTCTTTTCCTTTCCAGCCCACAGCTCAGAATGTCCTTTATTGTCTTCTCTACTCGAGGCACTACCCTAATGAAGCTAACAGAAGACAGGTAAGGACACTCCCCTTCCCTGTCGTTAAAAAGCCCACCTTTTCTTGAGTAGTTCACATATTTATGCCCCAGTGCCTGCCCTGTCAGTCATTTTAATCTTATAGTTCTCTCTTTTCACTTAAGCCTTGAACTTTGCACATTGACCCATCTGCTAGGTTACTCTGTGATTGACTGATGGAATTCCCTGATGTTGGTGAAATTATGTAAAAGACTAACTCACATTAAAGTAAAACTTACATTCAATTGGCAACTTGGTCTGCTAACTTGGAACAAAATGGGAGCAAACCAAATTCTTGGGGGATTCTATTTTCTTTTATTTAAATTAGATTTATTCTGTGGATTAAGGTTTCAGAGATACAATAAGCACAATGTGAGAAAAAGAAGTTGAAATATTATCATATATAATTACTAAGGCAGGGAATAGAAACAGAGGTTGTACGGTGCCACAGAATAAAAGGAAATTTGAATCAGGTGTGGAAAAGTGTTGTTGACATAAAAGGATTACTTAGACCTAGCTTAACAAAAATATTATTTTGGATTTTACCACTTATCCATGAAAGCTAGCAAAAATAGAGACATGCTGTTTGTTCATAGTTAGGATGGTGTATTGGGAGTGGAGGTAACATTTTTCCTGAGTTAAGGACAATTTGTCCACTTTTTACAAAGTGCTATGGTGACATGAGAGGATCACCACGGGGTGCAGTTCGGGGGAGGGGACACATGTGGGACTGTTGGCAGACCTGCATATGGAAAAGGAGGGAGGGAGGAGGAAAGAAGGAGGGACAAGTACAGGGAGACTTGATTCTATAACATTCCTCTTCTGAGAGCAGAAGAGGACTAACAAGATGGAATAAGGTTTTCTGGATTTTGCACCAACACAACAAATCTGAGCTGGTCCCCATTTTTCTCCACTTCTTTGTTTCCCATGAGTAACAAAAAAGAATACTCTGTACCATATAGAAGTTTCCAAGTCCTGTTTCTCCTTTAGTGGTATCTTTTATTCATGCATGCCATTTGCGATACAGAAACCACATCCTAGAAATAAGGGTTTCTCATTTCCTATTAACAGAAGGAGAAACTGAGGCCATATCATGTTCCTAAAGATACCAAGCAGAACCCACACGAGATGCAGGCTTCACATTTTTCCACTGTACCTTGCTGGCTTCTGTTACACAGACAATCCTAAGCCTGGGAAAGTTGTGAGACTTTCCTTCAATATTGGCCAAGGATTTTAAGAAGCTCTGACGAAGTATCTCTGGCTTATGGGCTATATGGAAGACTCCTCTCTCTGTCTTTACACGATGACATCCTCTATGCAGGGATGCCTTTTGTTCAGAGAAAATACTCTCTCCCATTCTTCACATCCTTCCACAACCCAGGCTGCCCGGTGCAGCTGCTTGCTGGCTCCACTCGCTGCGTGCTCGAGTTTGGCCTGGAGACCTAGATCTCCATCCCTTGTGGATATTTTGTGTGCTGAGGCTCACAGCCTCTGGGAAGTGAGGAGGACAGAGGGGTCACGGATTTATAAACACTGTTAAAAATGCCTAGGCTTCTCAGACTCATTTCGGTTATGCTAGCTCAAGTCAGTCATCTGAATCTGACTTTGAATCTACTGTTGTATGCCTTAACTTCACTGCTATTAGTTTCCTGTACCAAGGAGACAGAGGCTGGAATCTCCACTTTGCTGGAAGCTGCATTGGATGTTTAAGGGCTAACTACGCATCAAACAGCCAAAAATGCCTTGCTTAAAGGCTGAGTGGGTTTCACGTGCTGACGGCTTGGCCTAACCTCTGGGTCAGCTGGCAAAGCATGCATGGTTTACTGACACATCCCCAACCTTACTAGCCTAGGGAGAAATGTGGACGAGGCTTCCCTCTTGGAAATACTTGCTCATTAGATTGGATAAGAGAATTAGGCTTTCAGAACTTCCAAGCTGTCACTATCTCTGAAAAATGTGACTTCCAGTGTTTCAGTTGGTCACAGGAATTTTTATGTTTTTCCTTACATCTCAATTGGACTTCACAATTCCCCTGTAAGAGAGGAAAAGATACATTATTGCACAGATGTAGTAAGTGAGGACACCACATAAGTTTAAAAACGCGTTCAAAAACAGGACGTGAATTCACAGACGCTCTCGTTTCAATGAGAGCAAAAGATTGTGGGTAAACCAAAAGAAATAGTATCAAAGGAATATTTGCCTCCAACCCTTGGTTTCAAATCCACACAAAGAAAACCACGGGAAGCTTGAAAAAATAGAACAGAAAATAAATTGGGTATGTTGCGCTGTAGTAAAGGAATTACAACCAGAGTAATAATAGCTCCATTTGTGTTTTATCTGCTAAGCACCTTACCTATCATTTCTCACATATCCCCATATAACCATTATAACTTCAATTTCCAACAGGGTCACATTGTTTTATATAGAATATGCCATTTTTCACTAACTGCTTTCAAGATTTTTTTCTTTATCTTTAGCTCTCAGGAGGTTGGCTAGGATCCGTTTAGGCATGGTTTCATTTGGGTTTATCCTATTTGGTTTTGTTGAGCTTCTTGAATCTACAAATTTGTCTTTTACCAAATTTGAAGAATTTGCAGCCATATTCCTAAACTATTTTTTCTGTATTAGTCATTTTCTCGTCTCTTTCTGGGATTCTAATGACACAGATTTAGACCTTTTGATACGATTCTGCATGTGCCTGAGGCCTGCTCAATTCTTTTCCCATCTTTCCTCTTTCTGTTACTCAAATGAGATGATTTCTATTGGTCTATCTTCATGTTCACTGCCTCCTTCCTCTGCCATCCCCATCCTGCCATTGAGCTCATCCATTGAATTTTTTATTGAAGGTACTTTGATTTACAGTCCTAAAATATCCATTTTGTTCTTTTTAAATTTCTTGTTCCCCTGCTGAGGTCATCTATCTTTCCATTTACTTCAAGGATTTATTTCAATTTATCTATTTGCCTTTACCTCATGGAGCATAGTTATAAGATAAATATATAAAGATTTAAATACATGTAAATATATAGTATTTGATAAGATAACATATAATTAAATGTATTTTATATAATATAATTAAATATATAATGGGACTACATATGAAAGAAATACAACGGGTTAACTATATATAATTATAGTAGGAGATATAAAATATAATAGCTAATACTAGTAGAAATGTATTATAAAAATACTACAAAATAAATACCTAAAGCATATTGATATGCTTTACATTGTTTGCCTAACAATTCCATAAACTCAGGATTGGCATCTTAATTACCTTCTTGGTTACATTTCTAGGTGTTTGTATGTCGAGTAATTTTAGAATATATCTTAGAAATTTTTAATAATAGGTTGTTCATACACTTGAGTCATCTTCAAATCCTCTGTAGAATATTATTCATCTTTCTTCTCTGCTTGAATTAGGTTCAGACCACAGTTCTATCTCTTCCGTGGGTGGTGGTTTTTATTTCAGTTCAGTTTTCAAAGGGTTTGCTAAGCTGCTTTGCATCTGTCCTACACATATGCAGCTTGGAGATGAGACAGGACTTACACAGCTTCACAGAATTACTGGAACCCCCTTCTCCAGTTCTCTCTCCTGCAGGATTCCCTACACACTATGTTTCCCACTGAGGCCACCCTTTACAAGTCTGCTAGCAAGTAAAATGGTATTTCTCTTGGGAGTTTGGCTACTGAGGTCACCCATGGGGCAAAGGCAGGAGTAATCAAGAGAAATGAAAGCGAGGGTTCTCTCCACAGTCTTTGAACCCCAAGGGCTCCCTTTCCCAGTGGCCTGAGATATGGTGAGCTCCCAGGCCACTACCATGTGACTGAGTCTCACCCTTAGGTTAAAGCCCTGAAAGAAAAGGGGTGGGGTGTGTGGAATCCATGCTTGTCTGTGTTACGTCTCAGGTTTTAACTACCCTGCCCAGCTCATCTGCTTTGTTTACTTTTCAGAGTCCTTATGTGTTGGCTTTTTTATTTTGTCTAGAGTTTCTCTAATAATCACCAGGAGAGATAGCCAGTAGCAAGTTTACTCCATCTTGCCTGCTATTACTTCCATTTTATAGATAAGGGACACTGAGAATCTGAGTTCAGAGAACTTGGAATGGTCAAATAACAAAAATGGGAGAATTAGTATCCTAACTCTTGTTTCTGGGTTTGGTCCAATTCATGTGTTTTGCATTATATCATGTTGCTCTTCCAAGATATCTTAGCTTCAGCGGTTTACAAAACAGTCAACAAATTATAATAACATTTTTCAGGTTTCTTCATCAGTATAATAAAGGATCTAATGTTAATTTACGTACTATCAGGATACATTATGTTAATGTGAACTACTGCATATGATCCCCCAAGTACTCCCTGGATAGTCTTTTTCCTGATCTTACTTTAAATACTTCAGATGTTTCATCATTTGGAAATGAGATCTCGAGGATGTCCAATTCTTCCTCTAAAAGAAATCAGGAATAGATATTCAATGTAACCAAATGCATTTTTGGCATCTAATAAGATGATATTGACCTACTAACACAGTGAAATGCATTAAGAAGTTTTTAATATTGGGTCATTCTTGCATTTCTGGTTACACTTGGTTGTCATATATTATTATTTTAATATAGAGTTGAACTCTTTTCTGCATTTTATGCAGAAATTTAGCATCAGTATTCATAATTGTGATTGGACTGCTCTTGTCCTTTTTATGACTACTTTTATTTACAATATTTTTATACTTTTTTTTTTACATGTAGATTGTTACTTCTAGAAAATAGTCTGATGAAAGGTATAAGGCCAACATCCATCCTTTTCTTCCAAGTCCTTAGCCAGTTTTTCCATCATTTGCTGAATAATCATTTACTACCAATTTGAAAATTAGAGTCTTTCATAGACTTGGATCCATTGCTGTATTTTCTATTTTGATACATTGCATTTCTGTCTGTCCCTAGCTAGGGCCACATTTTCTATTGGTTTTAACATCTGGAAGTCCAGACCTTCTTCACTTCTG